CCATGGTACTTTCAGCATTCTTTGCCAACACCACAACTCAAAAGCATCAACTCTTCTTTGGTCTTCCTTATTCATTGTCCACCTCTCACATACTTGAAAATACCATGGTTTGGGTCAGGTGCATCTTAGTCTTCAAGGAGACATCCTTGCTTTTCAGCAGTTGAAAGAGGTCTTTTGCAACAGATTTGCCCAATGCAATATGTCTTTTGATGTCTTGATGTCAGAGAGTAGCACTATCTTATACCCATGCCTCCAATCCCACAAATTTCCTGATTTTGCCTGAAGATTTTTCATATAATTCATACCATTCTTTTTCATATCCTTTGGGCCTTTTGAAAGGAGCTCTGGTGGCGCAGTGCCTAAGGCATTTGACTGCTAACCAGAAGGTTGGTGGTTCAACCCACCAGTGACTCTGTGGAAGGAAGACCAGGGCAATCTCCTTCCATAAAGATTTACCACCTCAGAAAGCCAGTGGGGGTCGCTATGAATCAGAGTCAACTCAGTGGCAGTGGGTTGTATTTTTTGGTTTGGGCTTCTTGATGTCGGGAGAGTTATAAGTACAAGATTTCCTTTTTATCTTATAGGATTTAAAGAAGACCAGTAGCTGAGGCTCCTCCTCTAGAGCTTTTCTCATCTGATACACTAACAGACAAATACACAATGATTTTAGCCCTCCATCAAGCGTGTTCCTTCTGCCTACCTTAGTCTCCCCTGTCTGGCTTCTAACAGATCTGTTTCTATATTGCTTTGTACCTATTACCTATATTAAATCTATAAAGATTAGTCTACAGAACTCCAGATGTGATCATTATAGAATCCACTGGGCAGCAGGATATCTCTCAGACACATACTTCACTTCAGGCTAAGTTTTAGAACTCCACTTATGGAAATGGAATAGATGTGAGGTATTTGTGTTCTTCTGACTCCCCCAGAACAGAGCTATAACCTGAGAGATTTTCTGATCCAACCCTGGGCTTTTGGCATAGGTATGTCCAAACCCCCTGTGTCTGGCGCTACTTAGTTCTCCTTATTAGGAGCTCTGGTAGTGTAGTGCCTAAGGCATTTGACTGCTAACCAGAAGGCTGGCGGTTCAAACCCACCAGCTACTCCTCAGAAGGAAGGTTGGGCAATCTACTTCCGTAGTGATACCACCTCGGAAACCCGAGGAGGAGTCGCTATGAGTCGGAATACAACTCTGTGGCAGTGGGTTTGGTTGGTTGGTTTATTAGGATCTCCAGAATGGCAGCATGGTGAGTTGCTCCTATAGTCTAATTCCCTGTTTTGCCACCCTGTCATGACACTGTTTCTTTCATCCTGTATTTATCAACACTTTCTTTGTGCCAGATCCTTAGGAGAAAGAGGAATAAGACACATCCCTGACCTCAAATCTAGAAGGGGAAATAGATGGACAAGCAAGTCTGATACCATGTGCTAAGTATCAGGGGGCACTATTCCTCCTTATGGTTGATGGCCACCTCTCCTGCTTAAATGCAAGCCCATTTCACCATGTTCATTTCTATACAGACATGGAGAACCAGCTGCTCAGTTCCTCCAACCTCATCTACCTATTGAAAAGTAGCCAGTGTGTTACCCATGAGGTTTCTTTCTTTCAGGCTAAACTAGAGCCATGGAGGTTGCTTAAGAGTGCAGGAATGTGATAGAAGGCTGCCTACAGGGATGTAGTAGAAAGCAGCCTGTTCTCTTTGCTCCTTGCCCCCTGATTTGCATGAGGAGAAGAACTGCCAGGTCTTCTCTACCAGGCCTCAGTCCAAGACTATCTTTTCCACTGCACACCATTCCAACCCTAAGCAGAGCCATCTCCCCAGTTCCCGAAGTAGCCAGGAGGAAAACCAAGCATACTGCTTACTATCTAAATACTATTCTTGTTTCTCTGGAAGACTTATGTGGATTTGCATGGGAAGACTTCTTAGAATGATTTGTTCTGCAAGGCAGCTCCTCAAACTGAGGCCTGGTTCTCTGAGTAGGCTTGAGGTTTAGAGAATCAGCTATCAGTATTTCCCGCTTAGAGAATCTGTTCAGTTTTATACTTGGTGCTTAGTCTCTGAAAGCTTTTAAGAAATTTAATTGAAGATGGTAGTGATGAACCTAATCCCAGATACTATGTTGTTATTAGGTGCCGTCGAGTGGCCTCAGACTCATAGTGACCCTATGTGGAACAGAATGAAACACTGCCTGGTCATGCGCTGTCCTCACAATACTTGCTATACTTGACCCCATCTTTGCAGCCACTGTGTCAATCCATCTTGATAAAGGTCTTCCTCTTTTTCGCTGACCCTCTACATCCCAGATATAGAGAAAGAAAATATTGCTTGTGAAGTGCTAAGGGATTATCTTTTGTTTGTATAGAGTCTGAGAAACAGAGACAGAGAATGAAGAAAAATAGCAACTAGGACTTTCATACACTGGTATTAAGCAATATGGTATGTGTATAATCAAAGACATAGTCTTTGTCATCAGTGAAAAGGAGGAAAAGTGGGAAGTAGAAAGGTTGAATAAGGAAGGTGTGGAGAACCAGCCACCGGTCTCTCTCCTCCTATCACTGCCTCCTTCTGCAGGCCTCTTTTCAGGCTTTTGCTCTGGGCAGGAGGATCAGAATTAGGCTTTGAGGGGTGGGAGACTGATACCGTGTTAGGATGAGGGCTTCAGATTTCCCTGCACTTATTCTTTGGTCATGTAAACTTATCTGTCCATAGAACTCAGCTCTCTAATTTTATAGTTGATGAAACTGGAGCACAGGGGACTAGGTTATTTGCCCCTTATCCTATAGCTTATTAAGGGCATGGGTGGGGAAACCCCCCATGTGGTAGTTAAGGTTATTTGTCAACTTGGCTGGGCCTGGTTTTGAGTGGCTGGGCAGCTGGATGTTGTTATTCCCCATGATGAGATTGGTAATTAACTCCATGGTGGAATCTACTGGAGTAGCTGAGTAGCTGCTTTAGGGATATGGGCTGCTTCTAATATATAAGAAGCAATTTTGAGGAAGGTCTCCAGCTTTTGACATGCTTTAATTCTGCATGTAGCTGAGTCGTTGTTCAGCAGCCTGCCATGTTATCTGCCGATATTAGGACTCTTAATAGACTTTAATCAATGGCCTACGGTGTGGTTTAGTAATATCGGGACTGTGCCTTTTCACTTGTCAGCCTTGAGTTTGTCAGCCTCAGCAGCCAGCAGCTGCCTGAGTGAAGAAAGCCTTCAGCTTCAGTGGGCCGGGAGCAAGAGACAGAGCTGAAGCTCAAGGTCAAGGGCCTTTCACCCAGACCCTAGAGCCTGGTATTTTGAGCTTGGACTTCTAGCCTCCAAAACAGTAAGAGAATAAGTTCCTATTTGTTAAAGCCACCCATTTGTGGTATATTTCAGTTAGAGCAGCACAAGGTAACCAAAACACCCCACACCTCTGGACTCTCAGTTGAGGGCTTTTTCCCTTGGCTGGATTCCATTCCTAAGCTGGGAATGTGACTGTCCCCCTTCTTCCAGAGTCACCACACTCTATCGATATAAATATCATGCCAACATAGCAAAACAATCAAGTCTAGACTTGAGGAAATGTTCCTTTTGTTTCAGGACTTTAAAAACATTTTAAAATGTATTAGGTTGGGAATTTAGTGTACTTGAGTAAAAAGATACGTGAAAATGTTTTGGAGCCTGAAGGCTTAACTTGTAGTGCCTGGGTAGCACAAACAATTAAGTGCTTGACTATTAGCATAAAGGTTGGTAGTTCAAACCGACCCAGGGGCATGTCAGAAAACAGGCCTGGTGATCTGCCTCTGAAAGGTCACACACAGCCTTGGAAACCTATGGACCAGTTCTACTCTGCACACATAGGGTCACGTGAGTCAGAATTGACTTGATGGCAACTAGCAACAGTAAGTAAAAAGTAAGTGCTAGGCAAAGGAGGGCATTGTTCTTGACCTCACAGTTCCCTTTCCTGCCACCTATGTTGTCCCTGCAGGCCGCCAGCTCACTGGAGCCGAGAGGGCCACTACAGCCACTGCAGAGGAGACTGACATCGATGCTGTAGAGGTCCCACTACCAGGGAATGATGTCCTGGAGTTCAGCCGAGGGGTAACCGACCTTGATGCAGTTGGGAATGAAGGAGGCTCCCACACAGACTCAAAGGTAGTCAAGAGGGGCCCATCCAGGGGCTCTGCACATATTACCCCCGCTGCCTACTGAAATAGCCTATGTCACAGCTTTAGCCAATACCAGTCATCTTGTAGCTCTTGCTGGGTCAGCTTCAGAGTAAGGCACTCCACAGCACAGTGGCAGTGCCTAAGCATGTGCCCCCTCCTTTCTGAGGGGCCTGACTTCTGGGACTCAGCCCACAGTGCTAAGTTGTAGGTACTGTGGTGTTCCAGAGAGCTGCTGAGCTTGGTCCTGATGTGCCTTGCCCTCCTACCTCCCAGGACCCACCCCCCCAATACATTTTATGTCCCCTTCTCCCCAGAACCCTCTGCCCCTAATGGCATCTCATCTCTGCACAGTATTTGTTCAAGGCCTAAGGCATTTGACTGCTAACCAGAAGGCTGGCGGTTCAAACCTACCAGCCACTCCTTGGAAGGAAGGTTGGGCCATCTATTTCCATAGTGATACCACTTTGGAAACCCAAGGAGGGGTTGCTATGTGTCGGATCCGACTTGATGGCAGTGAGTTTGGTTTGGTTTTTAGGAATCCTTGCATACCAACAAACATAGTCCCCTGTGAACTGCTTTCAGCTAATGGAGCAAAGTAACTTTTGGCTCCTTCTGCCTGCAGCTAGAGATTGTGTGCCTTTAACACTCCTGTATAATAGCACTGTGGAGTATGGAAGTTGGTTCATTGGATATTAGAAACTGAGAGGACACCTTCGGCGCCATCACCCCCAGCCCTCACATCTTACAGGTGGCATGACTGAAGCTCCAAGGAGTTCCTTAATATGATTCATATTAAGAAAAAACTTGGGACTAAATAATCCAGATTTGCGGGGGGTGGGGGGGGTTGCACCTTGAGACCTAATTCTAACCTGAAGACAAAGGAAAAGAAAACTAGAAGGAAAATTACTAAAGAATGGTCTTTCAGATACCCCTCTTTCCTCCTCATTCATATGCCTTAGGCCAGCTCATCAGAGGGAGAAGTTTGTGTAGTTTGAAGATAATACACTTCAGAGTGGTCTGCCTGATACTTTCTTTGGCACCCAATTTGTTCCCTACCAAGCGGCAATAGTGCTGTCTTTAAGTGCCTTCTTCTTGCATTTTCTGAAGAAGGACCAGCAATAGAACTACCAGAAACAAAATGTCCTTCCCTGGAGTCAAATAATAAATGTAGGAGTAATCTTGGTAGAACTGTCCAATTGTAGGAGAGATTTAGGAGGGGAGGGGACAGAAACTACTTTGAGCTGAAGAGGGAGGCTCTCTTCCCCAATCATTATTTGTTTTAATGTCTAAGCTTTCTTCTCTGGTGGGTTTACTGTGAAAGGAGGCACTGGAGGGTTTAGGGACCCTCCTCTCACATGGCCTCTGCCTCCAATGCCCAACACATGAAAATGTCCAGACCCTGAAGGAGGAAGCCTTAAAGATGCAGCAGAGTAAAGGATTAAAGCTGCCTCCTTCCTCTTCTCATAGTGGAGTGGTAGGTAGCTACTTCTGTAGAAATAGTTTTCTGTGAGTCTTGGACCTCAAGTGACTCAACAATATGATATAATTGGAAGTGGTGGGCATGAGATGGGACAGTATCAGCTGCCTATCTCCCACCACATTGGACCAATTACAGAAGTGTACACAATGATCTTCTAACTATGTGGTCCCAGCCCAGGCAGTTACACCATCTTCTTCCTGGGCCCTGTTTGTATTTCCACTGAAGATGTTAGCATTTCCAGCTGGGGGTTGTAAGTGGGTTATTTTACTCAGCCCACGTTCATGCCCATGTATATACAGAAAAAGCGAGCGCTCTAAAGATGTCCATGTGTCACATCCCACGTCTCTTCTCCTCTAGGTTTCACCCCACCCTCAGGAGCCCATGCTGACAGCCTCACCCAGGATGCTACTTCCCTCCTCATCCTCGAAGCCACCACCGGACTTGGGCTCAGGGACACCGCTCTCCACCCACCACCAGATGCAGCTCCTCCAGCAGCTCCTCCAGCAGCAGCAGCAGCAGACACAAGTGGCTGTGGCCCAGGTTCTCCTCAGCCTCCTCCCTACTTCACAGGCTCCACTATCATGGGCTTGACGCACCTTCCCTAGCCAGGGGCTCAGGGCAGGTTTAAAACCTAGGGAGCCCATAAGGAACTGCTCATGCTATTCGATCATTGCTTGTTGGGTACATGGGAAGTTGGGAGGGTGAGAGATGGGGGATGCAGTTGTAATGGAAAGAAACATTTTTGATTTTCCATGTATCCCTTGCTCGGAATTGGGCTTGGCTGGCTTGGCTGGATGTTGTTGGATAATGACTTGATCTTATCAAGGAAAAAGATGCACACAATTCCACCTTTCCTCCCCTGACTTATTTTCCTTTTGTTTGGAGTGGGGGAGGGATGCCTTCCAAGTCAGGACAGGTCTGACTTAAGATACCACCCTTAGAAGTGCTTGAAGTGTGTGAATTGGTGCCAATCTCCCTTGCAAAGACTGCTACCCTGCCATCTTAACCTCCATGTCCAAGACAGGCTTCCAAGCCTCCATCAGTGAGCCACTTATTCCAGGCAGTATTTGATATAATATTGGCGTAGAATTCATTGTAATTATATTTAACTTACAGGAATTTAGGTATATGATCTGAATCTCAATGAGAAGAATTGGCTTAGCTCTCTGGATCAAAGTTTTACTTGAGCTTCAAAGACTTGTTGGGCTACTACTGTTTTGTGGTGGGAAGGGAACTGATTTCTTATGCTGCATTTAGCAGCAGTTACTTCCATTTGCTTTCTGCGAAGGGCAGTGTAGTCAACATCTTCCTTGGAACCTAGAAGTCTTGGCTTCATCTTCACCACAAGCAGTTACGGAATGACAAAGACATAGATATCACTCATACCAGTTAAATAAAGGCTGAATCCTAAAGTGCAAGTCAGACAGGGCAGGACCTGAATGGATGGATGAAGACAAAGAGAAGATGGGCATTCGAAATTTATGGGGGTTAGAAAGAGATCCAGTAGGGCAGCTCTCTGCACTGGCATTCTGAGTCTGCTTGTGTATCTAGAATGGCAGGGAGAAGACTTCTCTAGGGAGCACTTACTCATCCCTGCTGTACCTTCTCTCATTCTCTTCCTGCCTTCTCATTCTCAGTCAGAGCTGTTCTTTCCCACACATACACCTTGAGCAAGCGTCCAGCAGCCTTGCCTGATCCTGCTAAGAGAAGAGTCTTGAACAGACCTTGGAACACAGTCTCACATTGATCTGAGGCACAAGCCTCCTGGATGACTTTGGTAGCCAGGCTTCTGAAGAACAGAGTCAGGGGGACATTGCTCCCTAGTTATTTGAGCTTTTTATAAAATTTCGACCATGGAAGAGGATATGTGCTGTTGCTGGGAGGGTTTGAAGGTGTTGCCAAAACAGCAACAGAGGAGGGAATGTCATTAGTGGATTCTTATGATTGGGGGGGAAGAAAGCAGTCCTCTTTGTCAAATCAATTAATTCATCTGCTATAGTTAATGAGTGTGTGGCAGTCCCGAAAGTCCCCACCCCCTGAGAGTGATGGCTGACAGAAGCACAAAGCCCGAGTGCTCCAGTTCAGGGTCCATCTTCAACTCTCACATCATTTTCAAAAGTTTCACAATGAATACAAATCCATTCTTTGACAATTATACTTTTCTCTTTCAGCATATCATTTGCCAGGCAATTATTACTTATCTGAGAATGGGATTGATGCATATTCATGATGAATATTATCAGAGAGGCATTTGAATTTGAAGTCACTGCTAAATACTAAAGAGAAACTATTTGCAAATGTATACTCTACACAACAATGTTGTGGCGCTTGAAGGAAGCACTCAGTCTACAAAGCAGCCAGACTTATAACTTGTCCTGGGTCTATCACAGTCAGGATGAAACCTCAAGAATGGTTTCCTGGTACAGAGTCAAGTTGTGCTACTGTCCTTTGGCCAGCACTGAACTGGCCAGATTTTAACTGCCTCCCTCCTGGAAGACAAAGGACTTAGAGGGAGGGAACAGTATGATGCTTGAGTTTCGCTTCATGAGCCTCTCAATTGCAGCCACTTCATAGGCTGAGGTGCCCTTAATCTCTCATTCATTTGGAATCTTCTGAGTTGATTATAGTCACCAGTGCCTTGGTTGACACTCACTTCTGGCAAATGATTGAAAGGCCACTGTAGTGTATGAGAATCCCACTTTGGTGAGACGATTTTGGATAGGGATTCATAGGCTCTTCCAGAATCTTCAGATTGGGCAGGACCTTGTAGGTCATCTGACAGCTTCTTGAACATACTCCTTTCCTAGTCTCTAGCATCCTACCAGGTAATTTCTGACCATCTGTCTTCTGTTTGCATATTGCTTTTGCTGCCCAGGAAGGCAGCTGGGGTGGTAGTGTCCCTCTCTGCTGGCTCTTGTCCTGCACACAGATTCAGTCCTAAGCCAGCCTTCAGTTACAGGTCTTTCTGTATGCTCTTCTTTCTCCACTCACTTCATAGCATTTGATCCGAAGGCTTTTTGTTAGTATCCATATCCTTGGCTAAAAACAATTATATAAGCGATGTAGGTGGATTAATAGGTCTCCTTGGCATCTTTCATGCATTTAAAATAGATCAAATCCAACACGATTGATTTTTTTCTATACAAGCAGGATTGATTTCTCTGTTCAGCATGAGGTTAGCTTTTACTTGTTCTGTCAGACTATTGTCACCAAGCTGCAAAGTTTTTGTCTTTCTTCAAATCTGTCATTTCTGTCTGTCTTCACAAAACTACCAGCAGTCTCCAGAATTCTAGTGGGTGAAACTCTGACCTCAGCATTTTCATGTAGCTTCTGGGATGATTTAAGGAAGAAGACAGAATTTCCTGCAGACAGGTGCTTTCTTGGGGTCATTTGTTGCATTATATACCTACCTCCCACCCTACCCTTGCTTATTCTCCCAGGTCAATCTGGTTCTTCCATTGTAATTGGAACAAGGCTTAGGTCTCCTTCAGGGTATTCTGATTGGTCTAAGATACCAAGGCCTCTCCCAGCCTCACCCTAAATTGGCTCAAACCTGGCCTAGAAGGAGCCTTCCCTGGCCTTAAAGGTATATAGGCAAAGGTGGTATCCAACCAACTCTTCAGTGTTTCTAGGTTAGACCTCAGTGTGTAAATAGCAGATCCTTTTTTCCAAAGCCCCCCTGACCACTCTCCCAACCTAGCATGAGGCTTGCCTGGCTGCCCTAGCTTCCTGCTTTCAGATCGAACAGAAGTTCAAGGATGTGAATGACAGTACAGCCTAGCCTTGAACCAAAATGGGAGGTAGCTGGCATCCGCATGGCCACGGGCTGGGCTCATATAACTCCGGAATTGATTTGGGGCACTGCGGCTGACTGGCATCTGTTAAGTAGGCCAGATTTGTTCACAGTTTGCCAGTTTCTGGCCTATCTCATGGGGAAAGTGTTAGTGCAGCTCAGTATTGCTATTTAAAGATTTCTCCTCTACCTGCTGCCATTTCCGCTTGTTGAAGAACAAGTAATTGGCTATTTATGCTTCGCCGTCGTGTGTGCTGTGGTTAGTTAGAGAAACAGTGCTAAATAAGAAGCTCTGCACCCCCCTCCCCAGGCCCTAGATTTATCATTTGTCCTCGTGGCTTCTCCTGGTCCCCAGTGCCCTGGCGTGTACTGCCTAAGTCCCTGCCTTATGCATGCTGGGACAGCGCCGCCTGCCTCTGCTTGTGTGTCTGGTGTGTGGGGGGCAAATTGCTCTGGTTCTCTCCACTGCCATTTCCATGTCCCTGCTGCTCCCTAACTTCAGCCTGGCCCTGGCCCCACTTCTGATGGAGGAGCTGGAGTCCAGGCAAGTGGGCTGGAGAGTGAGTGGGTCAATGGTCTGGTTTTGCTGGGTGGGGCGGGAAGGTGGGTGTTAGAGTTTGGGGAATGGGCAGAGAGCTAGAGGGTGCAAGGTTAAACTTACGCATGTAGTACTGTGGCTAGAACACAGAGGTGAGCATCTGAGTTCTGGCACTCTAGGCCGTGGCCCTCCCACAGACTTATTTTGTAACTGGAAGAGTTATTGCCAAAGACAACACAGCCCTGGAAAAGAGATGTTAATGCTTACCTTTCCAGGAGCCCTGGTGGTGCAATGGTTAAGTGCTCATCTTCTAACAGAAAAGTTGGCAGTTTGGATCTACCCAGCAACTCTGCAAGAGAAAAGAGCTGGTGATCTGCTTCCATAAAGATTAAAAAACCAAAACCCAACTCACTGCTGTCAAGTCGATTCTGACTCATAGCAACCCCTCTTTGGGTTTCTGAGGTGGTATCTCCACGGAAGTAGATTGCCCAGTCTTCCTGAGGAATGGCTGGTGGGTTTGAACCGCCAGCCTTCCAGTTAGCATTTGACTGCTAATTGTCACCAAGCTGCAAGATTTTTGTCTTTCTTGATATCTGTCATTTTTGTCTGTCTTCACAAAACTATCAGTAGTCTCCAGAATTCTAATGGATAAAACTCTGTCACGTGGAGTCAGTCGAAAATCAGCTTGATTGCACCCAACACCGACACCTTTTCAAAGGTCCCTGGGTGGAGCAAATAGTTTGCTCTTGATTATAAACTTAAAGGTTCGTGGTTTGAACCCACCCAGTGGCACCATGGAAGAAAGGCCTAGTGATCAGCTTCCATAAAAATTAAAGGCAGGAAAACCCTATGGAGCAGTTCTACCCTAACACATGGGGTCATGATGAATTGAAATTGACTCCATAGCAAAGGGTTGGTTGGTTTGTTTGTTTAACTTTGCAAAAGATATTTAATTCTTTGAAAGAAAAAGGTGTTAAATACAAATAAATATCCATCTGTCAGATAAGAAATGGCGCTCTCTGCTCCTGTTGTATGAATATAGAAATAAGCACAGAGAGCTGCAGCCAACTGCTCCAACCAAGTCTGGAAAGAACACTGCCCCATTTCAGTGCTTTGGGTCCAGACATACATATGCAAAGCAAGAGGATTGTGAAATTTCTGCAAAGTTAAAAGAAGTTCAGGCTGCTTTGTCTCAGCTTGGCCTGGTTTGCGTTCTCCTGCAGCGTAGACTGCTGCAGCATGCGGTCTGAGCCTTATGCCTGATGCCACTTTTGATGGCTGCAGAGGCAGAAGGGCTCATTAGTGTTGGTTTCAGGCAGCAGCAGCAATGTGTGCTTTCACATTAACAGGGCTTGAAAATACAGTGAAACCTGTGAGAGCTGGAACTCGACAAGACTGCCTTGTTTCTCTGGGTCTCACAAGTTTTCTGCCTTTGACAGTCACTACTTTTCTATAACTCTTTGTTTGTTGTTGTTTTTGTTGTTGTTGTTTGCCATGGAGTCGGACCCGACTCATAGCGACCCCTCCTTGGGTTTCCAAGGCAGTATCACTACGGAAGTAGATTGGCCCATCTTCCTTCCGAGGAGTGGCTGGTGGGTTTGAACCACCAGCCTCCTGGTTAGCAGTCAAGTGCCTTAGTCACTGTGCTACCAGAGCTCCCAACTCTTTGTTTAGTGGAAGATATTTGTGCTTTCCTTCTCTGACAGGTTTCTGCCTTACAGGGGTCCTGGCTTTCACAGGTTTTACTGTACCTGAAATGTCACAACTCTGTGTTTGCAAAATTGAAATTCTTATTTTTAACCTGGTACAAGGGGCACTCAGCCACAGGAATATTTTGTCAAGACCTTTACTGCCAGTTGATCTGTGATGGAAGCATTTGGTTCAGTATCTTTTGTTATGGACGGTATAATGGTTCGACCATTGGAATGGAACATGAGTAACATGCAAAAGAACTTCCAACTTTTTTTTTTCTGGCTGTTAAAGGAGGGAACACTTCCTTTTCCCCCATCCCTGCTTCTCTACCTCACAGTGGAGATTGAAGAGTCTTTAACAAATGGTCCCTAGTACTGACCACTGTGTCCTCCTGGGTATAAAATCATAGATTGTCTGAGCCTCTAGTCTGCTCTCTCAATCAATAGAAGAATGAAGTCCAGAGAGCAGAGAGTCATGTACAACTGCATAGTGAGTAACCAACAGACTCATGTGTCTCCACTCCTGACCCACGGTTCTCAAATGGCCTGATCTGTTGGGATGTTCAGATATGAGGTGCAGGTACCTGAGTGTGTCTCATGTGCATAGGAGTTCCTCAGTACCCTGTTGGTGAGGGATATGCAGAATTCTCAGCTTTCTCTTTTATATCCTTTCCAAAATTTTCCTCCACATTTCTGCCTGACATTCTTATTTGATTCTAGAGAAAATAGAAAGTGAATAATTAACCATTCTCTGTGCTCAATTTATTCCTTTCAAATACTGTTGGGATGAGAAACAGTACAGGTGGAAGGTTACAGTGACCCTTCCTTTGGCACCACTGCGAGGAACTTCCCATTGCAATTGTCTTGTTCTTCAGAACCAGTAGTATTTAGGATCTCCTGGTGAAATTTCCCCATGCCTCAGTTTCTAAGGAAGATAGCCACCTACCATTTGATACCCAGATTAAAATACTACTGGCACTTCTCTCCCTGATCTTTCCCATTTACATGAGGCAGCAAATGGCCAATGTCATGACAGACTACACACTCTCCCCTTAACAGCGCTTTGTGAGGGATAGATTTGTCTTAGATTCCTTAGCATATTCCCCCTGCAGAGAAGATGGACCCAACCTTGAAGGGCTGCTAACGGAAAGTATCAACTCATCTCATTACTGGCTCCACTCAGTTAGAAGCAGATCAACTTGCAAGGTCAGGTCCTCAAATCTGGGCAGAGGGAAGCAGCCATTTCACTAAACAGGATGATACTCTTGAGTACTGGCTACTGGGAGGTACAAACAATGGGCTGGGCAGGTCCCTTGGTTGAGCATCACCAAGCCCTGGGTGTACATGGTCTTCTGTTCCCAGAGAGCAAACTGCCCTTTAGAAATCTAGAGCATTTGTTTTTTGGGCATGGGGATCTACTGGTTCTTGGGCCTCTTTCTTCCTTCTTCTCCACTTCTTGCTCCACCTGTCCTGCCCCAATCAGCCTGTGTGTCTTTACCCACTCTATTTATGAGCCAAGAAAATCTTCTTCCTCACAACCTGCTGCTGTGGCCCAGGATCACCACATTCATTTGTTCCTTTTCTTCAAGGATCTTCTTAAACCCTCCATACTAGTTGTCCCTGACTGGAGTGATGTGGCCCCTCCACTCCCCAGAGAAACCTTTATCCATTTCCTAACCCAATAATCACATAGGTGTGGACATTGCTACTGCTCTTATGATTTAGTTTCTTCAAGCTAGAGCCTAATTGCTCCACTTTTCTTCCCACTGAGTTTGTCTCCACACCAAGATGACACCCACAGAGCAGACCTATAGAGACCACTGAGCTCTAAGTATGTAAGCCTGACATTGTTGGTGACTCCACCATGAGGAGTGTTTGAATTGACATGGGTCCTCCTCCCCACAGTGTGCCAGCTCCATAAACTGCCTCTAGTAGATTATCACCTCGGCCCTTCCAGGGTTGTTGGAGGACACCCTGTCACAAGTCAGTCAGCACACATGTAACTTCTGCAAAGTGTGAAGCACTGTCCTAGGTACTATAAGAAATACAAAGGGAATGGACAGTCAAGGAAAAAAAACTGACACCCACAGACATGAAAAGATAAGATGGCTTTATGATGACCCCCTTGGTAATTTAGAAAGGTCACATGTAGTGCCTCCTATGGCCTGTTATATTTGGACTGGAGGAAGAGGGAAGGAAAGATTGAATGGGGATTTGTTATGACACTATTCTTTGCTCATAAATCAATATATCAGTTTTTATTTAAAAAGAGAGACAAGAAAAGGGTACTTTGCTCATCGTGGCAGTGATACATGAGCTACTAAAGAAGTTCCTGTGACAGGGATAGAGAGCACAGGGGACTGAAGGGACTAGATGATAGCTCTCTCCTGCCTCTTGGCCTCGATGTAGGGCCCAGAGTGATAGGTGATACACCACGGCCCTCACTTCGGGACATACAGAGAGATGTATAGGCCAAGTGACCTGGTTTCTTTTGGCTCCTTCTCCTCCTGATGACAAGCCCCCCTCTGCCCATGAAGGTCTCCTTCATCTTAAGTTGAACATGGAGGGCATTTCTGGTAATGGATTTGCACCAGCAAGTGACTCTTAGTTACATTTATGTCCCTCTTTTCTCTGTGTCCTGTCCTGTTTTCTCTGCCATCCCCTTCTCTTTGCAGGTTCACTTGCTGAAGGACCAGTTGGCTGCAGAGGCTGCGGCACGGCTGGAGGCCCAGGCTCGTGTGCACCAGCTCCTGCTGCAGAACAAGGACATGCTCCAGCACATCTCACTGCTGGTCAAGCAGGTGCAGGAGCTGGAGCTAAAGCTGTCGGGACAGAACGCCAGTAAGCAATGCCCTTCCCAGCCTCTCCTCCCCCTGTGGAGGCTCTGGAAAACAGATGTTATTTTCCTGACAGCGTTTCTGGTGCTTTATTGGACCACTAACCTACCCCTGTATTCCAGCAGAAAACAAAGGCAGCTATGTGTGTGCTGTCCATACACTTCATGGAATTACAGGATTTCAGAGCCAGAAGGAATTTTGGCTGTCTTCTAATCCAACGCCCAGACTTGCACTTGAATGTCTGGAGAATTACTGCCACATACTCATTTAGTCGCTCCTGGATGGGGGCTGAGGTACCCTACCTCCTAAGGCAGGCTATTTCTTTTTCAGATGGTCTTTCCAATCAACTGAGCACTTACTATGTGCCATGCTCTCTGTGAGTTCTGTGGGAGACACCAAGCTGCTTAGTAATTTACTATCTTCTTGCCTAGTCCCGTCACAACAAAAACACCACAAATGGGTGACTTTAAAGAATGTAGACTTAATTTCTTAGTTTCAGAGGCTATGAGTTGAAATTCAAGGTGTCAGCAGGGCTATTCTGTGTCAGCTCTAAAGGAAGAAACTTTCTTATATCATTCAGCTTCTCTAGCCTGGGGTATTTCTTGTTATTCCTTGCCCTGTAGGCAGATGTTCCCATAGTATCTTGCTCCTGTATGTATCTCTCTCTCTGTGGCTACATTCCCCTTCATAAGACACTAATCAGAAGGGTTTACGTTTAGGACCTAGTCCACCATGTTAGGTAATGTCATTAACATAACATAAACCTATTTCCAAATACCGAAAAACCAAACTCACTGCCATCAAGTCAATTCTGACTCATAGCACCCTCATTGGGTTTCCAATGCTATAAATCTTTAGGGAAGTAGATCACCCCATCTTCCTTCCATAGAGCAGCCAGTGGGTTTGAACTGCTGACCAATCCCATGAACAGGTTCAGGAGTAGGATCAACATTAATTGTAGGGAACACAGTCAATCATAATACTCTCTCTGCACTATTTATTTTCACAACTTTATAGCATAGAAAGAGGAGCTCTGGTGGTTCAGTGGTTAAGGCATTCTACTGCTAACCAAAACGGTGGTGGTTCGAACCTACCAGTGGCTCTGCAGGAGAAAGATGAGGCAATCGGCTTTTATAAAGATTTACAGCCTTGGAAACCCTATGGGGCAGTTCTACTCTGTTCTAAAGGGTCACTATGAGTTGGAATCAACTCGATGGCAGTGGGTTTGTTTTGGGGTTGGTAGCATAGAAAAAGCAAGGAACAGTGTGTGTGTTTAATGGATAAAGCAGCAAAGTCACTCCTGGTTATTGATAGAGGTTGCCTGGCTGTCAGTCTGAGATGACATCTGGGCTGTACCAAGAAGCCCTTCTTGTTGTTGTTGTTATGTGCCATCAAATTGGCCCAGACTCATAGCGACCCCTCCTTGGGTTTCCGAGGCAGTATCACTACAGAAGTAGATTGCCTCATCTTCCTTCCGAGGAGTGACTGGTGGGTTTGAACCACCAGCCTTCCGGTTAGCAGTCAAGTGCCTCAGCCACTATGCTACCAGAACTCCCCCAGGAAGCCCAAACCTCCATGCCTTCCTCATGAGCTTATCTGTGAGTTGCTTGTGTTGTGCCACAAGCTATGATAGAATTCTTTTTACATGATCTCATTTAATCCCTGCAGTGCTAGATATCGCTACCCATTTTTACAGATGAGGAAATAGACTCAGAGATGTTAAGTAACTAGCTCAAGATTATAGGACTAGCAAGGGGTAGAGTCAAGATTTTTTGCAGGTCTAATTGCAAAACTAATACTTTTCTTACTGTACCAATAATTTCCTCAAACTATCCCATGAGCTTTTTTAAAAATGGGTATTTCTGGATCCACCCCACAGAGATTCTGCCTTTAGGATAGGGTAAGGAACCTATTTTAAGTAGTTTGGACGCTACTGTTTTATCAGTCCGCAGTCTCTGTGGATATTCCAGATTTTTGTTTATTGAGACTCTGTTCTCTTCTGGGAGCTCTGGTGACGTAGTACCTAAGGCATTTGACTGCCAACCAGAAAGCTTGCAGTTCAAACCCACCAGCCACTCCTTGGAAGGAAGATTGGGCAACTACTTCCGTAGTGATACCACCTCAGAAGCCCAAGGAGGGGTTACTCTGAGTGGAATTGACTCTACGGCAGTGAGTTTGGTTTTTGGTTTTGTTCTCTTCTAATTAATGCTGATTTACAAGATCGTACTAAAGATTATCTCAAGCTTTTGACATGGCTTTCTCAGTTTATAGCTTTCTCCTACCACAAGCTTCATTCAAGGCATTCATTGGCGTCCCCAAATCATCACATGATTCCCATTGCCCTGCCTTTACCACATTCTCAAAGCTCCTGTAGGCCTCTATAGGTAGAAAGTAAGGGATGCCTGCCTCTGCTTTGAGCCTCTAGTGAATAGGGCTGGTCTTTATGTAGAGGTTTGGACCTTCTTAAGCTACTAGTATAATGAGCCCTGGCACCTGCTAACCAAAAGGTCAGCAGTTCGAACCCACCAGCACCCCTGCAAAAGAAAAGATCTGGCAATCTGCTTCCACCAAGATTACAGTCTAGGAAATACTATGAGATAGTTCTACTCGGTCATACTGGATCGCTGTGAATCAGAATTGATTCAATGGCACACAACTATACCACCACAACAAAACAACTAGTATAGGTCCCTGGGTGGTGCAGATGGTAAAGTGCTTGGCTGTTAACTGAAAGGTTGGTGGTTTGAGCCCAACCAGAGGGGCTTTGGAAGAAAGTCCTGGTGATCTATTTCTGAAAGATCACATCCTTGAAAACCCTATGGAGCAGGTCTATTCTGTAACACATGGGGTCACTGTGAGTCAGAATCAACTTGAAAACTGGTAGAGCTGCTGGGTAAAATGTTGCCTAGTAATTGACTCCTCCACTTGATATTCCACAAGAAGTTAGTGGGACTATTATGAGCCCTTTTCCCAGATCTGCATATCTCCTAGGATAGATCAGTCCCCATCCATTCTACCCTCTGTTGAGATTCACATTACTCCCAGACTAAATCTCTACCAAACTGACAGCTGTGGCATAATAGAAAGAATCCTAGAGTCAATAGAATTCACTAGAACATATATTTTTCCAGACCATTTGTTTGTTTGAATGTTGTTTCAATAAACAGTACCCTGTTCTTATGCTAGAATCTAGCCCATCTTCTGAGCTCCTGAAGGTACCTTTTTTTTATTTTTGATGAACATACACCCATTCAACAAGTTTTAACACGTACAATTCAGTAACACTGGTTGCATTCTTCACATTGTGTCATCATTCTTGCTGTCTCTTCCCAAATTATTTTATCACATTAACTTAGATTCACTGTTCCCTAAACTTCTCATCTATGCTTTCAAGTTACTGTTGTCAATTTGAATATATATGTGTGTGTGTGTGTATGTGTGTGTGTGTGTGTGTGTATATGTATATATGAAAAAAATACATATATATACACACATATATATATGTATGTGTGTATATATATATATATATATATATATATATATCTTTTTAAGATCCACTCCATATAAGCATGATGAATAGGAAATGGGAATGCATCTTCTGAACCTGTAAGATTTCTTTTTCTTTAAATTTTATTTATTTTGTTGTTCAGAAATACACAGAGCAAAACATATTACACCGATTCTACAGTTTCTACATGTACAATTTAGTGATGTTGATTACGTTCTTGAGTTATGCAACCATTCTCACCCTCCTTTCCTGAGTTGTTCCTCCCTCATTAACATAAACTCATTGTCTGCTAAGATTCCTATCTAATCTTTTGAGTTGCTGATAAAGATAATTCTTAAAACAGCATAATGTTCAAGATAAAGGTCTCATTTTTGTTGTAATACTCAGGCAATTTGTATGCCAATAAAGGAAAAATTCAGTCAGACAAAGATAAATTCAAATTGCAGCTCCTATAACCAAATCACTGAAATTCTCAGAGCTCAGTTGCCTCATCTGCAAGTGGGACCAATGATAATAATTCCTATTTACTGGGGCAGTGGAAGAGCTAAATGGAATAATCTATAAAAGCTCCAAGTTCAAGGATTGGTGCATAATTAACACTTAATGGATGTGAGAGCAAAACTCTGCAGCAAAGTCTGTATGATGGGATGGGCTGCATAGACTGAGATGTATCCTTAGGCTTTCCCTGCACCATAGGAAGAGGATAAAGTGTTAAAAGATACAAAACCTCTGTGAGGGAAGGAGTCTTGCTGGAGCACAGGGCGCCAGAGGGCTTCCTAAACCAACTTTGTGGCCTAATGCAGCCCTACCCTTCTTGTCTCCTCCTCCAGTGGGTTCCCAGGACAGTTTGCTGGAGATCACCTTCCGCTCTGGAGCCCTGCCTGTACTCTGCGACCCCACGACCCCTAAGCCAGAGGACCTGCACTCACCGCCACGGGGCGCGGGCTTGGCTGATTTTGCCCACCCAGCGGGCAGCCCCTTAGGTAGGCGCGACTGCTTGGTAAAGCTGGAGTGCTTCCGCTTTCTCCCGCCCGAGGACACCCCGCCCCTGGCACAGGGCGAGCCGCTTCTGGGCGGCCTGGAGCTCATCAAGTTCCGAGAGTCAGGCATCGCCTCGGAGTACGAGTCCAACACGGACAGTGAGGAGCGCGACTCGTGGTCTCAGGAAGAGCTGCCCCGCCTGCTGAATGTCCTGCAGAGGCAGGAGCTGGGCGATAGCCTGGATGATGAGATTGCTGTGTAGGTGCTGTGAGGCGAGAAGGAGATGGAGAAGGAGGAGGAGGATGCCATGGTGGTGTTGAGGGGCCGTGTGGCTGCTGCCCGGTAGGGGGACACCTAGCTAAGGAGCGCTGAGGAGGATACAGGGGCTGGGGAGAGTGTAAGGTTCCAGAAAAGGATAAGGATTTTGCCTTGGAGGGTAAAGTGATGATGAAATTGGATTCTGAGAGGTGAATTGGCTCCTTTCTTCTGTTTGTCACTAAAGGAGATGCATGGCCTTTCAGAGCCCATGAGTTTGTGAGGGTCCCTGTTCAGGGCTACAAAGTTGCTGAAGGTCCTGACCCGTCTGCTCCATTATCAGACTACCCTGTTGTATGATAGATACCCCAGTAGCCCTCTTGCAGTCCTCATGTCCATGGTCCTGACTATGAAGGGAAGCCATTGGTACCTTCTCAGGTACTTATTTTTGGATCCGGTTGCCTAACCCTCCCTTGACCTTGATGGGGAAGAATTCCTTCTCTAGGCCCTTGCTGAGGTTGTAGATGTTAAATGTTCTGGGCTATGAAAGACAGCATATTTTCATGTGAGCATGGAATTGGTAGGTGTCACACTGGATAATCTATTAGTGGAATTGGATCCAAATATTTTCCCTAGTTAAATATCAGGTGTTACTTCACGGGGAGACTAGGAGTCTTAACACTATCCAGGCCCTTGCTGTGGAAGCCTATTGGGAAGATAGCCTCTTGGCTGCTACAAATGACCTGGGTCTGATTCTTCAGTATAGAAGCCCTGTCCACCTCCTGCCTGAAAAGCCTAGCTCATCTAAATGGAAGTGGAGAAGATTGTCTGTGGCCCTTGTGTCCCACCTCAGGGGCTATGCCCATTGTAGCTGTTGCAGTACTCACTCTTGCCTCTATGAAAACCTCAGAGCCCCAGCCTTACCTGGAACCTATTCTTACCTCTCAACCTGTCCCCTCCATTGGGCAGTGGTGGTCAGGTTTTACTGCAAAAAAATGGACATGGGCTGGTAGGTGAGACTCTTTTGTCTACTTTTCAGAATCACTGCCACTTAGGTCAGGGACCATAGCCACGTCACCCTTAACCCATCTCTGGGTTCATGCCTTCAGCATACCTGAACAGGTGCCATGTGCAACTTTTTTGTCCTTTACAGTCTAGATCTGGCTAGAGATCACCATTAGTTACAACAGGCTGACTGGGCATTGAGGACAGTGTCTTTTGCCATAAGTGGTTGGTCACAGATTTAAACATGGCAGACGAGAGAGCTGAGACATGTTGGAATAGTATGTTCAGGGAATTAAGTCTTTGTCCCGGACAAGAAGCTATACACCCAGACTACAGTATTATTTGAGAGTCAATTAGTGAAGATTTGGTTATCCCAAGATGAAATTCTTCAACCTTTGCTTTGCTTTATAATTTATATTAATGAAAGAGTAGCTCCTATACCACAACTAGATTTCTTCCAGACCAGAAAGTCCAAATTAAATAAATATAGCTTTATGTTAGTTTTCCTTGGGAATTGGTGCTCCAGGGTGTCAGTGAATCTAAGGATGGGGTGTGTGTGTGTGTGTGTGTGTGTACACACACACACATGTGAGAGGAGGTATACACATGTATGATGGCTTGTGACAAGTGACCTGAGATAAGGGAATGGAAATTTCCAGGGCGTTTGAATCAATGTTAGATTTCTGTTATTTCCTGCTATGCATTTAGTTGGAGAAGGTTGTTCTGATTTATCTTATTTTCTAATTAACTATTGGGAGTAAGTCCAGGAAAGAATCCAGTTTGGCTGAGCCTACTGAGTTTATATAATCTTAACTCAGGATGTCCCTTGCATCTGGGACCTCTTATAATGTCCAGTATCTAGGAAAGTGGGAAGTCTGATTTCTTAAGGCCCATGGCCTGCAAGCAGGAGCAGAGGATAAAGCCAGAGGCCAGTGGATTAGGTATGTGGAATATGGTTGGAGGAGGCTTGTAGTGGGATGGGGCAGGTGTGTGTGTGTGTGTGTGTGTGTTAGTTAAGTTTCTAAAATGGTCTTGAAAAACTTGGAAGGGCAAGAATGAAGGAAATGAAGGAGAGAGATAAAGAATCAGAGAAAATAGTTATTTGTAATGCTGAAGTGAGCCCCATTCAAGACTCTTGCCATTGGGGTGCTCTGTCCTGCCATCCTTTCTCCTGTTTAGTCCCTCCCTGGAGCACTGGCTTGTGTGGGCATTGTCCCCAGTGTGACTCAAATAAGTGCACACTCAGAAAATGTGATACAAAGGACAGATCTTGGAGGGTGGCCAGCCATCAACCCTCCTTCAGGGCCACTGGGCAGGAAAGGGAATGTTACAGACTTGATTTCCCAGTGATGTCACCCTGTCCTCCTCCTTCCTGCTTCTTGCTCTGCTAACTCAACTCCTGCTTTCCCCTTTTTCATCCTTCCACTCTGCTGGATGCAGAGGACAGTGGACCCCAGGGGCACCTACCTTCCAGGTAACAAAAGACTATGAGCCCACTGGCCTGCCCCAGGTCCCACAGACTCTCAGGCACATGAGCCTCTCACAGTTGCAGAGCCAGGGAAGAATTTCTTTGCCCAGGATGGACTTATATTGGGATTGAAAATTATATTCCTCGTATTCCTGCTTATATCAGTGCTATCTGTAAAGCCTCTCCATAGACTCACTTCTCTCGACTGACCTTGTTTAGAGTTGTATTCTTTTTATTTGCTCTTTGCTGGACTGCTTTCTCTCGCTCCCACCCCACAACCCCCCCTCTTTTCCTAAAACTGTTGTGTCATTAACTCTGTTGGATCAATTCTCTGGGAAAAGATTCTGTTAATGTAAGTGCACTTACTCCCTGGATGTTGTCACTAGTCTGGTGGCTTTTGCTAAATAAACCTTTCTTATTTCTAAAAGCTTTTCCATTGTCTTTTCTTGTTTCTTGTTCTGCTATTCCACCTGCTCTTTCTGTCCTCCTCACTTCACCCCACTTTCCAAGCCAGGTGGCATCAGCTGTGTGACACATGGTTTCCAAGGGTGTGATGTTTAGAAAGAATTCACATGTTCCCTGAAGGAGGAAGGAAGAAGGTGCCCTCAATTGTGGCTTACAGTGATCAGCCTTGCAGAATGCAGGATTTCTACCTATACCAATAGTTCTTAGCCGGGGGCATGTTTGCTCCCAGGGGACATTCAGCAATGTCTGGAGATATTTTTGGTTGTTGCAACTTGGGGAGAATGCCACTGGCATCTAGTGGATGTTACTAAACATCCTGCAATGCACAGGATAATTTTCCTACTCCCACAAAGAATTATTCTGGCCCAAATTCCAATAGTGCTACTATTAAGAGACCTGTGGCATAGTACCTAAGGGATTTGACTGCTAACCAGAAGGCTGGTGGTTCAAACCCACCAGCTACTCCTTGGAAGGAAAGTTGGGCAATCTACTTCCACAGTGATACCACCTTGGAACCCAAGGAGGGGTCGCTATGAGTCAAAATGGACTTGACAACTGTGAGTTTTTGAGACTGTATCCATTTTTGCAGACCCCACCCCAGGTCTTTTCAAATTCCAAACATTACTGGAATGCTGTGAGCAGTAGAAGCAAGTTTTAAGTGCTTGAAAAAGTTCTATATCCAATTAATTTTCAAATACAGTATGACCAAAATCCTCAAGATTATAAATTTTCACTGATTCTCTGAGGCAAGTGTCTAATATATGTAGTTGGTCTGCATGGGCCAGTACTGGAAATACCCATACTGGGGGCAGAATAGCCTCTCCACACCCACTTGGGATAGAGTATGTTATCGCAGCACTACTCAGAAGAGGAGGCAGAATGCTGGTAAAGGAAGGAGTGCTAGAGAAATAAGGAGCTGCAGGATCTCACAGAGCCTACATTATGGAACCCAGAACACTTTGGCAGGAGCTGTTAGCTGTTTTAAAGGCAGAGTTCGTTAAGCCTGGTGTTGGCCAAGTACAGGTCAGAAGAGCAATTGGGAGAGTCAGATAAACCAGATTCACATGCCCTGTTTGCCTTTTCTGGCTGAGTGACCTGAACTGAGCCTTAGTCTTCTCTTCTGTAAGATGGAGATAACAAAAAGTTATTGTAAAGAGTAAATGAGTTTACATTTAAAAGTACCAAGCAGAGTACTTGTGGCAACTCAGGGTACAATACAGTTTACCTTTTAGTTAATTGGGGGTAGGCTGCATTGCTGGGATCAGTACAATCATTTTAAGGTACCTATTTGGTTTGGTTTGGTATTTAACTGCTAACCCGAAGGTTGGTGGTTCAAACCCACCAGCCACTCCATGGAAGGAAGACTGGGCAATCTGTAAAGATTTACTGCCTTAGAAACCCAGCAGGGGTCACTATGAGTTGGAATCGACTCGATGGCAGTGGGCTTTTTCTGCTGAGCTGCAGCTTCACTTAGAACTCTATGTTGAGATAGTTCCTGGGCTAATAATAACACAGTGTAGGCAGTTCTGTCCTTAGTAAGAAAACACGAAGCACTAAAATGTCAGGCAGTAACTGGTGTGTGCTGTGGCACTTGAGGTCTGACTCAAGTCAGGGACTCAGGGACTCAGGTCAGGGACTGACTGTCAGATTGTTTTCTCTCTGTTAATGTGTTCCGGGCCTGTGATCCAGATGCCTTGAAGGAGGGAGCATGGGTTGGGAGAGGATGCCAGTCAAGGTTAGGAGCTGATTCCTAGTTCTCCTCAGATGGTGGTTGGGACCATGAGTGGTCTCCTCCCTCACCCCTACCATCTACCCCTCCCTGTACTTGCTCATGAACCCCATCAAGGGACTGTTCAAGGAAGGCTTCCCCATCTACCTGTGTAAGGCCTGTGTGTGGTTGGCATTTCCATTCAGGAAAACAGTAGCTCAATGTGAGGGCTAAAAAGACTTGCCCAGAATCACTGTCTGCTTCCTCAGGGAAGTGGGCCCTAGGAGTGATATCAGGGCTGTCTGGAGACCACCCAGTGGGTGTCATGACTATCCTACAGGTTTTAGCCCCAGGCCCAGCTGAAGCCTGCCAGTCAAGCACATCACTGTCTCTGATTGGTTAGGGGTAGGGGTATGGATAGGGTGCAGAATGGGCATAGGACTGGGCATGTTCACACAGCATATGGTGGGATGGGATTTGAGCCCAGCCTGTCTTGCACTCTGTGGAAAATGAAAGAATTACAAGTAATATTTTAGCCACAAAATGATAAGTTGGAGAAGCTCTGCTGAACCTTAATGTGAAGCTTTAGGAAGAGTTCATATATAACACTGGAAGGGAAAGGGAGGATCCTCCACCCCACCTATGGGCCAACCAATGGGTAAGGCAGAAGACACAGAGAAGGGTGGTGTTCACAGTCCCTGAAAGGAAATGCTCCTCTGTGCTGAAAGGACCCACTGAGACATTGGGATGTGAGATGAGAGGTAAATAAGGCTAAAAAATAGGACCACTGAGCATTTAGCTCTCTTGTTTAACCACAAAATGTACAAAACATGCCCTCGCTGTATCTCTGATGCCCACGTACCTTCCTGGTGGAGCTGCTAGTGAGGTCAGGGATGTCTGCAGGCATATTACTTGATAATAGGAAGTAGTGTTTTCACATTAACCAGCCCATTTTGATAGGACTTGAAATGGCTGTATAAAGATGTCACCTGGATCAATAATACTTCTGCTCTGCTTCTGAAAGAGATGTCCCATGTAACTGAATGACCACAGTGTATGTGATAGGGATAAGTGGTTATATTCGCCACTTATGCGTAAGAATGTATTGCCCTCCCTGTTATGCTCCTCAGAAGATCTAAGAAGCCTTTCAAATTGGTCAGCGATTCTGCCATGGGAGACTTTCCCATGTAAAAAGGAGAGACATTCAGCCCCTTCTCTGTTCAGTGTGCATCCACCCCTGTGGACTGTGTGTGTAGACACCAACAAGAAGGCCAGGATCCTAGAGCCATGGTTCTCAACCTGGAGCTTCCTCAGAGTCAGCTGGAGGGCTGGGTAAAATACAGATTGCTGGCTCCTCCCCTAAAGTTTCGTATTCAGTAGGTCTGGGATGGAGCCTGAGAATTTCATTTCTGATAAGTTCTCAGATGATGGTGATGATGCTGGTCTGAGAACTTCACTCTGAGAACTATCATCTTCAGGTATTTCCTTTCTTTGAAAAAAAAAAGGAGAGCCAGGGAGGTGGGCCTGGCATTATGTTAGCAACTCTTCATGGAGGGGAGTGGGTATGGGAAGGACAGCAAGTGGTGCAGGGTGACCTCAGACTTGACAGAGGGCGGTGACTAACTTTCATTTATTGGCATCTCTTTAGAGACATAAATAGGCTTCATCCCCTGTTTACCTGAGGTGTCCACTAACAAAACGGCTGCTGCCACCCAGCAGGACTACTTGAAAGCTTGGCAACTACCTGAGGCAAGCCTGTCCCCCAGCCGAGCCTTTTGCTCCTTGCCCCAGAGGGTTTTGAGCTTCCGGTAGTACACCTTGCAACTGAAGCCCTCCTTGAAGCCCCCTTTGATGTGGCTCTTGAGTGAGTGCAGGGTGGGGTACATGCGGCAGCAGGCCGCACACTTGTAGCCATTCTGCTGGGCTGGATGCCACTTGGAAGCTGTTAGGATGTCCTGGGACGTGATGTAGTCCATGGAGTCCAGGCCATGCCTGGATTTCTTGGTGGCCTCTCGGGGGCTGGTATTCTCTGGGGAGGAGGAGGAGGAGCAGATACTCTCAGCTATGTCCTCGGGAAGGCAGCTGTCCCCCCTGCCCTCGTCCCGCTGCACCTCTGGGAAGCTGAAGGCTTCCAGGTGGCTCTCCTTATCTGAGCATACAAAGTAGCTGTAAGGGGAGAACCAGGGCCGGTAGATGGTGCAGTTCCGCCTCAGCTGCTCCCCTTTCTGGATGTCCCCCACAGTGTGTTCTGTAAAGGAAAGGTCTGGGTCTGAGCCTTTGGCCTCAGGCAGGGAGCATTGAGGCCTGGGGTGGCTGGAAGGTGTGGGGAGGAGCAGGAAGGCATGCTGGCAAGCAGTCAGCCATGACCTCTAGTTACCTCAGCCCCACCTTGGTTGGGAGTAGGTGAAAGACAGAGTGGAGAGAGCAGTCTACTACACTGGTTCTTGCTGCTTTCTTTTTCTATTGACATAAATGGCAGTTTCATCCCTGAACAATCACTAAGCCATAGTAGTTGTCAGGTCCTTCCCTCCCTGGGGAGTCTCTGGGTGGTACAAACATTTAACACACTTGATTGCTAACTGAAAGGTTAGAGGTTGGAGACCTGCCAGAGACACCTTGGACAAAAGGCCTGGTGATCTATTTTTGAGAAATCAGCCATTGAAAACACTGTGGAGTGCAGTTCTACTCTGACCCCATGGGGTTGCCATGAGTTTAAATCCACTCCATGGCAACTGGTTTGGTTCCTCCTTGAAGATTCCTTGCTTTCTGTTTCCTGTAAGGATGGACACAGACAAGTGGATCAGAGGACTGCTGGACAGTCCCTTTTTCCATCCTTGTTGTCTGTTGTTGTTGTTGTTATGTGCCATCGAGTCGGCCCCGACTCATAGCGACCCCTCCTTGGGTTTCCGAGGCAGTATCACTACGGAAGTAGGATTGCCCAACCTTCCTTCCGAGGAGTGGCTGGTGGGTTTGAACCGCCAGCCGTCTGGTTAGCAGGCAAGTGTCTTAGCCACTATGCTACCAGAGCTCCTTGTTGTCTAGTTGTGACCATTTTGCCTGCCTGCCTGCCCATCTTCCCTTAACAGCCCACTTGTGCAGAAACTGCTTCTATGTAGCAGCCTGAGAGACAGGAGAAGAGAAGCAAGAGGCCTCCACGGAGCCTGACTGGCCAGACAGGAGCCTGCAGGTGCAGATGCAGCACGTGCTGATCTGGCTTGCAAGCACCCTTCCCTTGAGGAGCAGCCCTGTCCGTGCCAGCTTGTTTTATGTGCCCGCCCAGAGTTGAGAAGGCCTCACCTGTTGAGAGAATCATGTTGTGCACCCCGTGCCGGAGAGGGCTGCTTTGGTACTGGGGTTGCAGGGCCTGAGCTGGGCTGGGTGCCTCAGCAGGTGTCACAGTCTTTGCGATGTCTGGATTACAGAAGAAACATTCTGGTGAGCTGAGCAAGATTGGCAGTCCTCTTTTTGGGATTCCCCAAGACATACCTAGAGGCTCAACCTCAGTACTTCAAGGCATCTCAAAGCCAAAGAAAAACAGTGACCTCTCTTGTACCCAGATAAGCATCCTGGAAAATTCTAAATGGGGCCAGGCAGGATCCTCTCCAAAGGGGAATTTAGGACATGGTCAAGATGATACCTCTCTGCCTGATCCACCTGTCACCTGAGCCTCCCACAACTCACCACATGGGTGACTTCACTCTGTTTCAGGCCCTTGAGTGACCTGGGACCCAGGGTTTAGTGGGGGTGCTCTGGTCGTTGGCTGCATTTATTACATGGTCCCTTTGAGGATAAGAAGCTTGCTTCTCTAATTGAAACATCTCACAGCCACAGTCAGAAAGGATTCAGGTGGACCCTAGCCTGCCACACCCTGGAGTGTCTGCTAATGCTTGGATAAAAGGAGATCTGCTTCAGATCCTACAGTAGTAGCTGTGTTCAGTTTGTAAGATTTATAAATGTGATGTGTAGAGGCAAGTAGATGGAGGAGAACTGCTCCACGGAGCAGTATTCCTCAAACAGTAGTGTTCAGAGGAGTCACCTGGGGATCTTGTTTCAAATACAGATTCTGATTTATTGAGTCTGGGGTCTGGATTGGGCCTGAGATTCTGCATTTCTAATAAACTCCCAAATGCTGCAGATGTTGCAGGTCCACAGACCATACTTTGAATAGCAAGTCCTTAGAGCACCCATCTTCACTCCATACTGTCTCCTCAATGACCCTGCCTCTCACATTCCTTCTGATGATTTGATATGTCTAGATCTCCAGCTTGTCAAAACAGCTGAAACTAACACATATTCTTTACATGGCTGCCACCTTGAGATCTTATGCTACAGAAACTTGGACAACTAATGTTTCCCCCATTCTTTCCTTGCCAGAAATTAATAGACAGCAACAACTACTTATCACAAATGCAGTCATTTGAAAAATTATTGTCCCCTCCTGTATAATTTGACTTTCTCACTAATCATGGTCTTATCACATGATTTAGTTGAGTACTCAGTTACAAACTTTAAGAACAAACCACATCTTTGTGGCCCCTAGTGGCACCAGAGTTTACCTGGTAAGCTTGTGGCACGGGAGGATATAATGTAAGGAAAAGTGCTCATGGCCAAGGAAGAGATGCGTGGCCCAGAAATGCTGAGGAGTGAGAAGTTCTCCATAGTCTGACTACCGTAGGGTATGAAGAGCACACATCTGCTCCCAAAGAGGCTGGCTGGGTTGTCCAGACGATAAAACATTCTGAGCACAGTTGACATCACAAGGAGATCACATGATTCCACTCACCAGCTAGGTCACCCCCTTTAAAAGATGGATGGAGTCTATCATAAGACAGGAGTAACTAAAACACTTTCTAGATTTTTTGACTGGTTATTCCTTAGTGGCCTGACCTAATTGAGAATACCCAGGGAGAAGGAAGACTACCGTAGAGGTAGTTTAGTGATTTTCCCTGTTTGCCCACCTTTTATCTTTCTGTGTGGTCCCTGCCATCACCCCCCAACTCAAACCTCTCCAAATGACCCTCTTGCTTTTCTTCTTTCCTCTCTGCCTAACCCCTACTACCAAATAATTTTTATTATTTTACCTCAATTTTTGGTTTGGGGTGTATTTTTTCGTTTTCTTTGGAAGCAAAGTTGCAAAAATAAAATAAGTACAAGGAACATCTGTATACCCTGTATCTATATTTACCTACTGTTAACATTTTACCCCATCTGTTTTATTAGTTTGTTCTGTGTCCATATATATAGCCATAATTGATTTTTTCTGAACTATTTCAGAATAAAGTAAGTTAACAAATATCATGACCCGTTACACTTAAATACTTCAATGGTATTTCCTAAGAATGGATAATCAGATATTGTTTGAAATGGTCAGTGTTGTTTGTTTTGGGGAAGTAACTAAACAATGAGAAGCTTAATACTATTTTGCTCAACGTAAGTTAAGGTTGGTGTGCTGGTGAGACTGTGGATCCAAGAGAAGCAGGAGTTGCCTTTATCTTTTGCCTCACTTTTATCATTTACCACAACCTAGCACACTAGTGGGATGTGGAGTATGGGTAGAAGATGATTGTGATACCTTGGAGATAAGTTGAAAGCAGCCTGTTCTATATCACCTGACAGTGGTCTCAATCTATGCTGAATGGGGAAGATGCTGCATACTCTGAGTGGGGTGGAGTATGTGTGAGTGTGAATGTGCATCTCCTTCTACACAAAACAGCCCACAGTTGTCTTCCTGTCTACATTTACTCCTAGAACTTAAGCATCTGGAAGACAATGTGGAGAACATGATTTCCCTTGTACTCTTGCCTCATATCCTGGTGTCTTAGTTATCTAGTGCTACTATAACAGAAGTACCACACGTGGGTGGCTTTAACAGACAGGAATTTATTCTCACAGTTGTTGTGTTGTTGTTATGTGCCGTCAAGTCTGACTGACTCATAGTGACCCCTCCTTGGGTTTCCGAGGTGGTATCACTACGGAAGTGGATTGCCCAACCTTCCTTCCCAGGAGTGGCTGGTGGGTTTGAACCGCAGGTGCCAGCTTTCTGTTAGCTCTGGAGGAAGGTTCTTGTCTCTTTTGAGCTTCTACTCCTGGATGATCATCATGTAGCTTGGCATCTCTGTTTCTCCATCTCTTCTTGCTCGATTGTTTATTCTCTTTTATGTTTCAGAAGAGATTGACTTAAGATACACCCTGCACTAATACATTCTCATTAACATAACAAAGAAAACCCATCCCCAAATGGGATTATAACCACAGGCACAGAGGTTAGGATTTTCAACACACATTTTTGAGGGACACAATTCAATGCACAACATCTGGTTTGGAACATTAGAACAAGTTGGGATGCAAATTGAAGCTGTATGCTTTGGTGACTTTAAGGGTATGGGCACTGTCATTTGGGGCAGCATGGTGCAGACAAAAACCATGGATCTGGAACTCAGTGTATGTGAGTTCTAATCCCCACTCTGCCATTACCTCCCTGTATATTAGTGGGCAAACCTCTCTGCTACTTGGTTTTTCCATTTTGTTTATGTAGACAATTAGAGTGGATGAACATCTTCCTACACTTCAACCTAGTGATTTACATGTAACAAACTAGCACAGTCATGAGTGATGCTGAGTGACTCCAGAGAACTTAGAATTTCATTCTGCCTTGACCCATCCCATTTGTCCCACTGATGACAAGGAACTTCATATGTATTTAATGTGAAGAGGGTTCAAGTTACTGGGAAAAAAAAGGGAGGCTAAATCTTTCAGTGCCTGTTTATAGTTTTTAAAACACATCTGTTTTGGTTTCATTATTGAAAAGTTTGTGAGAATCTGCTGTTTCCAGAGTTTTTTATACTCCTAGTAATTGGAGGTGCTGTATCCTTTTGGTATGTTGTTGCTGGTGGCCCAGGCAGGAGGTGACTCTCTCATAGTGTTGGTCACTACATAAAATGTGTCTCTTTCTCGTTTGTTTTCCACCTGCTTTCCGAGCCCCTTTCTCAGTCAGGTAAGATACCCTCTTTCCTGTGGGTGAATTATGTCCCAGATGCTCCCCTCTGCTTGATATGTGCATGTTGGGGCTGCTGCTGGGAGGGGCACCCCATCTGGGTCCAGTCATTTTTCTCTCCTCCATCATCATCATTTTCTGAACCACTAAAAGCCTCTAGTCCTAAAGAAGGGGAAGGGGAAGGGGATAGAGTTTGGGGTCATTACTGCCCAAACAGGAAATGGGCTCATTATGTATCCCTGGAATTTAGGGGTGAAAGAAGCCCCAGCCAGAGTCCCACTTTGGGAAGAAGGGCAGTTTCTCCTGGCTTGAACTCAATAGCCCCTAGGGACCACTCCTATAGGGAAGTTTTTAGAGTAACTTTTGTAAATGATAGAAAACAAACAAAAAAACACTTGAGAACAGTTTCTCTAAAATGCCATCCCATCATATAGTCGATTTTAAGCATTCATATAAAAGTCAATCCAATTAAACTCACTTAGTAAATGCTTGCAAGGACCCTTGCTAGCTATTTTAAGAGATAAAAAGCACTTTGAGAGGTACGTGTCATTTTACTATATCAAGCAAGGTTAGTTTACCAGAAAGATTTAGAGAATTGTATAAGAAGTTTATAATGGACTATGTTTTAATTAATTAAGAATTTGGTGTATTTTATAGACTAAGTTCTGAAGGCTAGAGAGCAGGAAGTACTCCTCAGAAGGAAGATGAGGCAATCTACTTCCATGGTGATACTGCCTCAGAAACCCAAGGAGGGGTCACTATGAGTCGGTCCAACTCGACGGCACGTAACAACAACAATCTAAAAGTTGTTTGTTAGACTGTGTTTTAATAATGATAATGAAACAAACAAAAAGAATAAAAAATAATAATGATAATAATAATAGGGGCCCATAATCTATAAATCACTTTGACAGATGGTTTTGGTACTTTTAAAAATGAGCGTGTCTACTCTGAGCATTACTTTAAACCATTAAGGAAATCACGACATAAATATCTAAGCCAGGAAATGATATTTGTCTTCCCCAATGTACTTCTCTGGGACATATGCCATGGTACCATGGCGACCTGAGTACTTTCTGGATTGAGGGGAAATAGTTACTTTCCAAGAACTCCTCTGCTAGTTTGAAAGTTTGAGGATTGAAGAAGAATGAGGTGAAGGTGGAGTGTGATAGGTATATTATCTAAAAGTATAATGGCGAGGCAAGATACACTGTTAAGTGAGTAATCAAGAGTTGATGGCTCTGTTGTGAGACTGGGTGGGAACTCCCGCTCATGTGGTGCATCTTTATCTGTGAGCCCAGCACAATTTAAATCAACCAGCCCAGCTCCTCCTATTCCAAAGGTGCTCTCACCTGAGTTCCTTGACAATCTCTCCTGTCATGGTGCTTGTGCCTGCTCATGGGTTCCGGGCAATTACAGAGGTGAAGACCATGGAACTCATTCACAGGGAGAGCTCTCCACTCCCCTTTCCACAGCTTCCTCCTTTCCACCCAAAGACGCTTGGAATGTGACTATCTATATAGCTAAGCTATTTCTGCTGAAACCACAATAAAGAGAAATGCTACTCCTGGCCCCAGGACTCAGCAGTGCAATGCAGAGGGAACAGCTTTATGCAAAAGTGACAGAAGAGAAAGTACACCCTAACCTCACGTACTTTTAGAAAGGCGTGGGGAGAGTAGAAACTTAGCAGAGGTATTGACAAGGAGAGGAGCCCAGTGACCAAATGTCCTCTTCTCCAAGATGGAAATAACATCTGGGGTAGTTAGTAAGGACAGAAATCTCAGGTCTAGTTCCAAGGTGCTAGAGTGGGTCTGGCTACATTGAGGACTGAGCTGGATCATCAGGTGGGGAAAGGATGTCCCCGTGCTACTGTGGGGCAGCATAGCTAGAGCTCCAAGCCCAGACCCAAGCCATTCCAACAACAAACCTTGGAGCTACCTTCTTGCACTCCACAATTTTCCATCTGCAAAATGGGTTTGGCAGTTCAACTCAAGATATTTATTGAAGTCCAAATGTGTACCAGACTCTGGCCTCTGCCCTGTAAATGTTTGCAACCAATTGGGTCTGCACCAACTTTAACTTTTGAGCTAAAGAGAGACCCCTGAGAGAAGGACTGTCTATGAGACATATTTAGGCAGCTCTTCCATGGTCTAAGGAAGGGCACAGTAGTGGAAAGAGCCCTGAACTTGGATTGAAAGTTATTGTTAATGAGTTGTATGACCTCTGGCGCAACAGTTAATTATCCTGAGATCCAAGTTCCTCGTCTGTAAATAGATAGCTTACCGTGCCCACCTCACTAGTTTTTGAGGATTAAGTGAGCTGTGGTTTGTCAAGATGCTCCTACTTCACTGGCATCAGGTGTTATCCATTTGGTGTGAACTGAATCTGAACCTCTGCATGCAGCTAGCTCCATTCTCCCGAGTTCCACCTAAGGGGAAGTGAGCAACTGCTGACCGATTTCCCATGGAGAAATGTGCTCCGCGGGTGGCTGTTTGCTGGGGATCTCCCAACCCCAAGCCTCATACTTGCCATCCCTCAACCAGCATCTGTCCCAGTGCCTAACTCACAGAGCACAGCTTGACACATGCTCACAGCGATGTAAAAATATCCTATTGCATCACTTCATTCTCATTTTTTCTTTACATCAAAGGACCCAGTGACCCCAAGGTAAAGGAGTCAAGCAGGCAGGTTTCAAGGGATAAGTTAGCTTTGCTATGGGTAGGGTTAGTGACTGATTAACTTGAGAGGGGCAGAACTGGAATTGCTGGTCCCCTGTCCTATCAAGAAAAGTGGGTTGGGAGTGTTCAAGAGTGTTTTTGCTGGCCTGCTCTCGAATATTTCCAAAGCCTTGTGAAGTTACACATTTTGAATGCAATGTAAGAGAAGCAGAGGGATATGGTTGAAGGTCTCTCTCACCCTCTACTCATCCATTTCTCCATCTGTCCTTCTTTGTCCATAGTTGACCACAGCATGTTTGAGAATTTGAACACAGCACTCACTCCAAAGCTACAGCCAAGCCGCTCCTTTCCCCACTTGTCCAGGTCTGCGGCCCCCAGCTCCACCACCCTGGGGCCTGTGGAGCCTGGTGGGCCAGGACTCTGGGTGGGCAGCAGCCAGCACCTCAAGAACCTGGGCAAAGCTATGGGGGCCAAGGTGAATGACTTCCTGCGGAGGAAAGAGCCCTCAAGCCTTGGTGGCGTGGGCGTGATGGAGATCAACAAGACTGCGGGAGCCGAACTGGCACATGGGATTGATGTGGCATCCGGGGCCTGGCTGGAGGATGAGCGGTGAGTGCACATACCCCCTCAGTATTCCTGCATCTCTTCTGAGGTACCTCTGTTGAAGGTCTCCAGGGAAGGGCAACCCAGATGAAGGGGTGTATAATTGCCATGTGAAGAACAGGTGAAGGAATAAATGATATTCACAGGCACTAGCTTCAACCTCCATAACCACAGCTGATGTTTACTGTGCCTCTATCATGTCCTTAGCACTGTGCTACATGCTTCAGTTGCATTATTTTACCTAGTCCTTTCAATATCCCTGTGATATAGAGTATGTTATTTCTACTTTGCAGATGACTCAAGTTCAGAGAGGTGAAGTGAGTGGCTGAAGGTCATAAAGTTAGTAATGGGCAGAGCTGATTTTGAACCTAGGTTTGTTTTGGAGTTGGTGCCTCAAACCCAGGACTGGTTGTGGAAGAAAGATAAGCCTTGTTCTGTTGGCCCAGGGTATAAACCTGAATCAGAGGGTGAATCTGGAAGGAGGCCAGTTTTAGCCCAATGTAAGGAGCTGCTTCCTAGGATTTAGAGCTGCTAAAAGGCAGGATCATTGGGAGGAAATGAGTCTTCTGGCCATAGGCCTGTTTGAGAGGGTCATTGTAGGTGTGGAAGAAATCCCACAGTAAGCAGTAGGATCCATGTGGGAGGTTGGACTTGCTCCCTTTTGACATGCTGGCATTGGTGATTCTGACCCTTATCTGTCAGCAGGAACCCAAGCCAGAAAATCACACATTCCCTTTAGAAATTATGCCATGATTAAGGGAGAAAGGTGGGGAATAAGGAAGAAATTCTGCACTGTAAGACACACTATCTATCATAAACATAATTTGTAGGACCCTTTAAACCATCTATATGTTATAGTCTACAGCCCTAACGTTTTCAGAAGCAACCTTGGTAGTGCAATAGCACGTGGCTGCTGAGCAAAAGGTTGGCAGTTCAAACCCACCAGCTACTCCATGTGGTGACCTGCTCTCATAAAATCACAGCCTAGGAAACGCTGTGGGGCAGGTCTGCTCTGTTCTATAGTCACTAAGAGTCAGAATGGACTTGATGGCATACAACATCAACAAAGTGACTTTCAAAGAGATGAGTTCCAGATGCTTAGAATAAAGCAGTATTGTGCCCAGGATCATTGAGCTGTAACATAGAAATGATCATTGCCAGTATGGATCCTTTGGCTTCAGGAGCTTCCTAGGCAGAAACAACAGAACGAGGTGATGTTTCTAAATGCAGAGCCTACTGGGCTTCTCACTGTTAACCCTGCAGGCAGCTGCCCCCTCTTAGTGCTGTAAAGACTGGCGTGATTTATGGAGCTAGGCTACACCAGCCAGTAACAATGAAACTCTTTAGTTTACAGCCCATAGCTTCAGTTAGATCTTCAGGCTGCCACAGCAGTGCTGTCCATCATGGCATTGTTCCAGAATTACTTAGAGACTTTAAAAATACAGATGCCTGGTTCTCACCCAGATCTATTGAGTCAGCATCACCAGGAGTCATCCAGAAGCTCCCCAGTTAGATTTTGATGCACAGCCGCACCCAAGAACCACTGTATTAGCTTGTTGGTAGCAGCCAGCCTGTGTCTGTCAGAACCTATGGGATCCAAGGCTAGTGAGAGATTTGAGAGAGAACCTTGGTGGACTGCACTTCTTTTCTTCCATCTCATACCTACAGATCCTTTCCAGGCCTTGTTTAAAATATCTGTTGTTTCTGAGATGGTAGTGTTCTATTATTATGCTTATTGCATAGGTTCTGGTACTCTGTAGAAATGCCTTCCCCAAAGGCACACCCATGTTTCTGATATGACACAGTGGTTTTTATCCTGTCTCCCATGAACACTGAGCGAGGATGTAAAAGGCCAACAGCCAGTTATTAAGGTAAGTTGCTAAGACCTACACACTAAACGAGAATGGTTTCAGTACTTGTTGGATGGGCAAATTGAAAGTGGAATTGGAAAACCAGGAGTGCAAGGTGGACAGGTGTCTCACCATCCTTAAAGCATGTATGCTTATTGTCATCAACCTTACAGGTCAACATTGCAAGAAGCATTCCCACGACTGGATCCTCCACCACCCATAGCCAAGAAGCGGACTCCTCGGGCCCTGAAGACCACCCAAGATATGCTGATTTCATCGCAGCCTGTCCTGAGTAATCTGGAGTGTGGGACAGAGCCATCACTTGGGCAGTCCCAAGACTCCCCTCCCACTGCACTTGCTCTAAGCGAGCCTGTCTCAGCAGACATGTCCCACCCAGAGGCCACTATGGAAATGGCAGAGAAGGGCGAGGCCCTGCCCAATGGAGAGGTTTCCCTGTCAGTACCTGATCTAATCCACAAGGACAGCCAGGGTGAATCCAAGCTGAAGATGACTGAGCAGAGAAGGGCCTCCTCCCCTGGCCTCATGGAGAGAAATGGCCTCAAACTCAGCATGAGCCCCATCAACCTGCCTGGGCCCCCAGAGGATGGCAGCCCCTCTCCTCGAGCACGGATCTCCAGCCTTGACAATGAAGGCCCTCACCCAGACCTGTTGTCCTTCGAGTAGAGCCTTTTCTCTTCCCTGTTAACCACCACTCCCCTCTCCTCTGCTTCCTTCTCCGCTGTGCACACAGCCCTTCTCCCAGCTCTGATGGGCCCTTTATCTTTCTTGCAGAGAGCAGGTTCTCCCATCACAGGGGATGTTATGAAGCCAGAGCCCTAGCTAAAGAGCCAGTGAAATGGCAAAAGGACTCAAGTGCTATTCTGATGGACTTGGATACCATCCCTGATCCTGATTTTCCATAAGCTTCTCTGGGTGCTGGATGCTGCCCTTGGTATTAGAGCTCCTCTCTTCCCAAGCTTGTCCTGGTTTCCGGGTGAATTGCAGGATCACTTGCCCAGGATTATGGATCTTGCAGGAATTCCCTTTGCCTGTCTCCTATATGCTGCCTACTCCTCTACTCTCTTCCCTGCTAGTCTCCCCTTCCTTCCCTTTCCTCCTTGGTGGCCCAGAGGCTCCCTGCCTGGGATGAATTGAGCTGGATGAGGAATGATGGGTTAGGTTTGATGATGGGCCGTGACCTGAAAGCTACACCCCTGACCTCAGCCATGGCTCCTCTTGATCCAAATACAGCATAAGTCCCTGGAGGCCAACTTGCCTTTCCTGGTGGATGGTGTCCAGAGGAGATGCTTACCAGGCCTGAGACCCAGAAGCAGCCTTGTCCCCTAAGATTGTCTAGGTGTTTCCCCTCTATTTAGATGTGGAACACAAAGTCAGCGCTCCCTGGGAACACAGCATGGAGCCTGCCACTGAGGGTGCCTCCCCAGCCCTGCCTGTGTGGGAGAGGCACTTGGGAAAGGCATGCTGTCAGCTATGCCTGAGCTCCTACACAGACACAAAGAGCAGGGCTTCCCTTGCTGCGTGAAGACAGGGTTAGGCAGGCCCCAGCAGCAGAAGTGGAGAATGATCTGGTTTTATTTTGGGTGAGGGCCCAGGAACTTGGGGGTGGTTTTGGCACTCAGGGAGCTGATCCTAATAGAACCCACAGCAGAAGTAGTGGAGAAAGAAGTGAAGACAGGATGAGAGATGAGCAGCTGCTGGGAATCAGAGCAACTTTTCAGCCTCTCACCCTTCTCTTTCCCCTAGCCTGAAATGATGCATTTCCAGGGGCTGGGCTTGGTGAGAATGAGAGCCAGGGAAGAGCCTGGCAGAGATTGGAAAGTTAAGAACTGTGGAGGTAATCCACTTTTAATTAAGCATGGAGTGCTTTGCTCTTGTGAGTTTCCCTGTACCTCCCTGGAGGAGCCTCTGGCCTGCCTTTCCCTATCCTTAATGCCATATAGTCCCCTCTCTGCTCCTGCCTTCAAGATCCATGTAAGGAACTGACACAGTTCATCCACCTATTACTGGTGGCTACCCTCCTGGGTTAACCTGTTTTTGTCTTCCTGTCTCTAAGCAGAGGTCCTGTCATGCTGTCTTCCTGTGGCCAGGAGACCCTGTGGGGGGGTGACCCTTACTCGAGCCTTTGCAGCAAGAAGAGAACATCCCCTTTCTTGAACAAGGTGACCAGTTCCCTAACAGAAAGCTGGGAAAACATACCTAGTCAGGACAGGCTGTTTGACAGTCCTCTTCCTGTGATTCCTGGTACCTCCTCTTTCCTATTCATTCTTTGCCTTTCCCATCCAAGGTCCCAGAGCTCACTTGCCAGTTCATCTCATCGCAAGCTTCTGCTACCCTGCCACCACCTCTGCAATACAGGATATCCAAGCTAACTCCTCTAGAACCAGGAACCACACAGGATCCACTAGAGTGTGAGCTGTCCTTCACACATTCTTGCTTCTGTAGATGTGTGACCTTCCACAGTCCTCCTGTTCCTTTTCTTCTACTGTGTCTTCCATTGCTCAGGAGCAATGCTTAACCCCGGAAGCAATACTTAACCCCATACTCAAAACAAAGCTTTGCCTCCCCTTCCCCATGAGGATCTGTACTCATGCCAAGCCATGGCAGCAGGCCCTGGTGAAGTGATTAGGAGTGTTATTGGATATGTGCATCCTACTTTACTCCAAGAACATCACAGGATGTTTTCTGACCATTAGGTCAGAGAAGTTCTCAGGCTAACATTTTGGGTCCTGTGAATTTTCCCAGAATGGTTTGAGATTTCACACAAAACACACCAAGGTATGAGTGGTGGTCATTGCTATTATTAGTTGCCTTCAAGTTGACCCCCAACTCATGGCAACCCCATGCACAACAGAAGAAAACGATGCCCAGTCCTGTGCCATCCCCATGATGGATTGCCAGTTGAGGTGAGGGTAAAGCACCAAAATACATATTCTGGGAGTCAGTCCATCTGATCTGAGCTTTCCATACCAAAAGCTCTGTTTGCTTCTTTGGAAGCTTAGCAGGCACCAGCCAAACTTTGCAGGTCTGGACTACTTACGTACCCTGTAATCCACTCTACCCCCAACCTCTGGTGGAATCCTGGCCCTCAGACAGTATCAGCAAAGAGATCCTTCCAAGTTGTCCCAGGACCACTGCCAGGGTGATTGCAGAGTTCTTTAGATTTGTGTCAGATACCCAGATACCGAATAGGAGGCCTGGGGCCCTGCTCAATCTTGCTTCTCTGATCTCACACCTCAGCCATTGCCCCATTCAGCTCTCTGAGGATGAAATCTGGTCCTAGATGCTGTAGCTATGGCTGGTGCTAGGAAGCCAAGTGCTGCCCAAATCCCAGCAGGAGCAATCACTTCTAATCATTCCTGCTGAGGGTCTGGGTTCAGACCAACTCTCCTTTGTAAATCCCCACCTACTTTTCTGGGTCCCTCTCAATAGCCTGATCTTCCTGTTGGCAGTTTGGCAACCACACCCACAACTCCCTCTAGTCTGGCTTCTCTGTGAACAGTGCCTTTGAGTAGTCCAGTCTATGCAGGGGCTGGGTAATGAGGAAGAATGAAGGACCTATCTGTCTCCATCTAAGGAAGCTGGGGCCACAAGAGTCTTTTCTCTCCCAGTTACTCCCTCAGCTTCAACCCTATCCCCGTACTCAGCACATAGCTTTACCCTGATAGATCACAAGGTGAGCTTCTAGTATCTGGCAGGAGGATAATGTATTCCCTGCACAGAGAGAAATATATCTGTGAATGTGTTGTATGTGAATGATATGAAGACAGACATGAAATACACTGATTATTAAAGAACAAGGAGGCTGGCCCCAGTTTTGGGGGGAGAAAGAAGATTACAGATGTATTCTGAGTATTTTCTAGAGATTTTATATTTATATTTTTAGTAATTTTCTGGTAGAAGGAAATTGCAAAATAAAATGATTTGGTTTGGTTTGGTTGGTTTGGTTTGTTTTCTTCTCATGACTGATGAGGAGTAGTTGGTTTTCTTGTCTGGTGATGAGCACTGCCATTTTGTTCTTGTGAGCCTGGGAGAGGAAAATGTAGGAGATAGGAACTTGAGGAGGATGGGAGCTACTGCCAAACCTCCAGCGAAAGACCCTTGGGTATAAACAATCTTTCAGGATATGGTAATTGTGAAGCCACTTCTTCCAGTCCTGACCTATCACCCTTTCAGGGACATCAGGCAGGTGCACACAGTTAGGATCCTCCAGTGTGAATGCAAGTGACCATGGGATCATCTTGCAAGCCAGTGGCCTAGGATGCATAGCTCTCTTCCACCAAGCCCTCTTTCACCAAGTTGGGGATGTGTGTGTGCATACATTCTTCTGAGAGGTACAGAGCTTCTGTCACAGTCTCAGAAGGTGTCATCACCAGTCAATCTCATTAAATTACCTAGAGCTGCTGAATTAGGTACTTCCCCTGCAGTTGCTCTCATGGGCCTTCTCCCTGAGACTGGGCCGACCTTGATGCCCACTGGTTGAGAGAATGTACCTTGCCAGGAGAGCTTGCCTGAAGCTCCTTTGCCCCATTGCTGCACCCGGACCAATGTCTGATCCAGGGACTCAGAGAAAGCACACAGCCAATAATTGGCCAGGGCTTTAAGTTCCTTAGGAACTCTGGTGGCCTAGTGCCTAAGGCATTTGACTGCTAACCAGAAGGCTGGCAGTTCAAACCCACTGGCCACTCCTTAGAAGAAAGAAAGACTGGACAATCTACTTCCATAGAGATATCACCTCAGAAACCCAAGAAGGGGTCACTATGAGTCAGAAATGACTCGATGGCAGTGTTTTTTTTGTTTGTTTTGTATTTTTTTAACTTCCTTAAAAGGAAGAAAGTGGGAAAGAGAAAGAAGGGATAAGTTAGTCTGCTCACAGAAGCCACTACATTTCCAAAGTGAGAGGGATGGGGCCTTTCTGCCCATCCCTCTTCATTTGCCCCCAAGGAGTTGGGTTCTACATTCGGCACACAGGGATTTCCTGGATCCATATCAGATGTGTCTCAGGAATGAGGTAAGTCTCTGGCTGTTTCTGTATCTAATTCCACCCCCACACTTGATTTCTCAGACTAGGTACAAGAAGGGAACAACTGGGCTCTCAGATTGCCCACATTCTTAGCAGTAGGGTGCAGCATATTATTCTGAGAAGGCAAAAGTAACACAAAAACTAATCCAGCGTATTCCGTGCATGGGAAAAAGGCATTGAAAATACTTCAATTGCAACTTTTTTCTCTAAGCCTATGCTCCAGTGACTATTCTTTAGGAGACCTCTCCCATTGGATGGCTTCAGGATCTGCCACTACAGTCATTCAGGTGTGAAATGGTGCCTTTAATACGCTTTTCTTTCCTACTGTTATGCAAAGTAGTTATTTTGGGTAAGATAAAGTCTGAAAACTTGTAGTGTAAAAATGAAAAATTTGAGGAAATTTTTCAGCGTGAAAATGGATGTGCATATGATGTTTTTCAGTGTTGTGCTCTAAGTTGAGCCATTGTTCTGGGTGCTTGAATACAAAGATGCAGTTATTCAAATAACATATCCACCCTCCTACCTTGAGTGGCACAATGAATAAGGAAGACCAAAGAAGAGTTGATGCTTTTAAATTGTGGTGTTGGTGAGGAATACTTACTTAAAATACCATGGACTGTCAGAAGAATGAACAAATCTGTCT